TGCACATTTAAAAAGCAAACTACCGCATTCCGCTGTTCATTTTTTCTCTGTTGCCAGTAATCTCGGTTTAAATACCTCGCCAGTTCTGGATCTACATAAGCAACACTCGACGATACAGGTGTGTCACTTCCTGAATAAAAATTATTTCACAGTTTAATTAAAAAACTGTCGAAATACTACTACCGTTCACCAAATCTTAGGACTTGTTCCTTTGTATATTCGTGTTTTCATAATAAATAAACAGCAAAAAGAGTACCGATGGAGGGCGCTGCTCCTTTATAAACCGATTTATTCAGCTCTCCGTCATAAGCAGTTCCATTAGTTTTAACATCATTTAGATTATCTGTACCATTATATAATTCATAAAGACGACGTTGTCTTTCACGTTCCTGAAATTTTTTTTCTTGCTCATTACTATGTATTGATGATTAAGCCCTAGGTTAATGCAGTTGTTCTACTTCAGCGCATCTTTACAACCTAAACACGCTTCTGTGATAATAGGCTGACTGACTTAAGCGTTGGCTAACACTGAAAAAGAACCCAATGAAGTAGCTTGCTGTTTTTTTCCGTCACAAAATGACTGTTGGACAAAATTAATGTAGGAAACTATATAAACTTATCTTTGCAGTTCAAATGTTTAGTCCTAAAATAATTCGTAGATGACACAGACAAACCTGTGCCTCTGCTTCTGACCGACTCAGTGCAATCGCCAAATTAATTTCATCTTCTTCAGCTTGTTTTAATTCAAGATCCCGCTGTTCAGCTGTTTTCCTCGCATCAACGGACAAAGATTTATCAGTTTTGGACGATAGCGGTACTGAATTTTGCGAGCAGCTGACATCGGTCTTTTTTGTTGTTGTCTTCTCATAGCACCCGTCACAAACTCTTACCTGGAAAAACTCGCCCTCAAACTCATAAAACAAAAGGTGGAAGTTAAGAATTGGCCTATTTTACGAATAAAATCTTGAGTTCAAAAAAAGATGAGACCGGACGTATCGACGAAATGACAAATGCATCAAGGATTTAGTGGGACATTTAAAAGTCAAATTTCATTCTTTTAAGTGCCAAAGTATTTGCATTTACCTGCTTTTCGATGCCATACTGAGGCAAGAAGCTCTGTTTGCTGCTGCATTTATCGCAAAATATTTGTCCACAGGCACGGCAGTGATGCTTACGTGTAATGATCCCAAATGCCGTTCGACATCTAAAATGATAAATGAGTAACAGGTATGAAACAATAAACACATTGTACATAGCTCATAATATCACTCCGGTGGCAGAATTATCAAAATTAAACTTTAAAAAGAGAAAAAGCCAGATGAAATTTCCTACCTAAAACATTCCTCTCCGTCTGCCCATTCCGGTGCACTTTCCGCAATGAACATCGCATCTGCTTCCGCAACATGCGGAAAATCAAAACCGGCTAATTTCATTAAATTATGGGTGTCGACTACAATTTTATACTCTGGTTTGTTTTTGAAAGCCAATGCCCAACATTGCAGCAACTCCAATATTTTGTTCTTAACCTGAAAGTACATTTATCCACTTCCTTACGAAATTTGAATTCATCTCTTAACCTATTATTGTGCAGCAGTAAAACATAGCAATAAGGAACACAAGACAATGAAATAGTTTCGAAGAAAAGGGAAAAACTTTAATGAACTTTAACGTACGACTACTCCATCGTTACCTGTAATAGATCTTTCGATGATTCCAACCAACATTGTATGCTACTACACCCTCAGTCTAATTCACCTGATACTTGAACTAGCCCTTTTGGCTTATAATTCCACAGTATTTTAACTTGCTCTCCGTTAGACGAAATATGGTAAAACATGCTATACTGCTACAGATTCCTATGATAAAAGCTTACATTACATACTCATTATAAGAAGGAATATCTGAGGAAAATACGAAATATTTGGGGAAAATAAATGGAAAATTGTTGACCGACCTTATCTGGTGTTGTATCTAGTGAGAGATTCTTCAAATCTTCCATGAAATCCCTTGTTGCAATTTCAGCGTGAAACTGAAACGACCAGTATGGAAAAAAAAATGACATCTAAATTCTTTTTTTTCCGAAAAAATTTAATTATGTAAGATGAAACGGCACGAAGAGAGTACCTTGACACCACAGTTCTTCATGCACGCTTCCAGAACGAGTAAAGCATGATGAGCCACATGCGGATTTTCGTTATGATATCTCTTCCTAATTGCGGCTACGGCGGCTTTTACACTACAAATTTACAGTCTGCACTTTGCAAGAAACACATAACTGAGTAGGCATAGTATAAAGGTGGGAGTGGAAAATGAAAATTCCTGTCCACAAATCAAATTCCAATTCGTTGACAAAAAAATTTTACTTGCTGAAGTTAATCCTAATCTTTTTAGATCGATAAGTTTTCAGAGCTCTTCGTCTTATCTCGGTAAATCATTCTCCTCGGTTCTCGGAAACATGTCATCATGTGCTGACAAAATATCGCCCTAATAATCAGAAGTACTTACGGTACTTCTCCTCCACGTATCAAGTCAACACATTCGATAATGGCATCCCAGTTTGGGTCAATAAGTGTCGAATCGGTGGCTTTATCTAAAAAATAAACAAAGAAAAGCATTCCAATACAAGATTAAAAACATGGACTAATTTAAAGTTTCTGTAGAAATTGGTAATTTCTGATCGCCTCTTCATAGTGATTCAAGTAAAGCGACATTAATTTCAAACTAAATTAAAAGCAATCACACAATTACTTCCATAAGTGGCCATCTGAAATTATTGCGGAAAAAAATAAAGGGAAATACCCAGTTGACGTTCAAAACGTTTTGCCATCGATACAGAGTAAATCAATGAAATTCTGTATTATACAAGTAAGTCTGAAATATTCGAATAGCTCAGATATGTCTGGAAACGACGTACAAATCAACTGATAGTATCGTAAAACGTTAAAATCGTGCATTCATGATGAGGAAATCATATTTCAGTATTCTCCTTTACAGCAGACCGAAATCAAATCAAGTCAAGAACGATAATATTCTCGGCAAAGGCAAATTCATCATTGACACATCATCACTTACAACGAACTACATAAAATGCACATTTATCCCGAAATGTGCAAAGCTAACATTCCCTCTCCTCTTTTCCGCAAACCTATCATTTCATCCATCCGGAAACCACAACACACAACAACCAACCGGTCTCAATGTCAGCCACGAGAAGTTAGTGAAGCAATCGTAAACCCGCTTCTGCTTTTGCCTCTTTGAGAAATTTAAATTCTTTGAAGTCCTCCTCAATATGCACAATGTTTCTTTACCTGTCTTCTTCCAACCACTTTGCAACAATTAACAACTACTGTCATCAGTTATTCTGTAGAACAACAAACAGACACAGTCATGCTGCATAATGATATATCCATTGGAGAAAAAAAAAAAACAGAGCCAGTTTTCGGGAACAAAGAGCCGGAAAATTAGTCTTTCCGGTTGATCCTATTTTTTGTCATATGCTTTTGCATTCAATAATTTCGCCTGATTTCTTCTGATTAGACAATAACTAATATGTTGCCAAACCTTTTTCCTTCCATAAAATGGTCACCGTTCAGATGACATAATATGGCATTATTTTTTTAATGCCTACATCCCGTTGATATTATCCAAGATTTTGTGGTAATGGATTGCCATAAAATTCCAAAAAGCTAATAAGCATAATTTATTCAGAAAATTAGAATGTTAGCCTAATAATATCCGATTTTTGTGCAATCTTTGGGATATTATTCATTTGCAACTTTCCCATTAAAGCAATTCATCATCATCAATTCTATCACTTTTAAACCACGTAAACTCACGTGAGGTAAGTTCGGAAAATGGAAAAAAGAAAAAATCCACTGAACAACTGACGGCGTGCTTGATGCGATGCGCCTCGTCCACAGTACACTACGTATTTGTGTAAATAGGTACGTGTTATGTATGTATGTGTGTGTGTGTGTGTGTGTGTGTGTGTGTGTATGTGTATGTGTATGTGTATGTGTATGTGTATCCGTGTGTATGATGTATATGTATGTATGTGTATGTGTGTGTGTATATATACCGACAGTGTCTCTTTCAAGAGCAATTGGTTCTGATTCATTATCACAAATAATGCGTTCATACTGGTGTTTTCCCCTTCTGCAACCCGTCGAATCGATGTGAATTTTTATTGGCTTTTTTTTCTTTTTTTTCTAATTTAAATGGCTTACTAACTGAGATAATTCATCTGATTAATTACACGTGCAATCTATCCACATGTCCATTTCTTTGTCTATACTCCCAGTCCATTCCTCCATTTATTTGTTCACTTGTCCAATAGTCTCCTTTGCTTTGTGTTTGTCCCATACGGCCAGGTTTTTTTTTNTTTTTTT